AGACACACACCACCCACACAGCTATACACACTAACTACACAGACTTTCTACGCACACTTCTCTCTCACACACACACACGACGCACGCACGCAACACCACCACACACACACACACACACACAAGCAAGAGATACACCATAAAATACGCATGCACGCACAGACACACGCGCGCGCACACACACGCATAGGCACACTCACTCACACACCGAATCATACTGAACACACATCACAGACACACACACACACACACACACACACACACACAACACACACACACACACACACACCACAACAAGCAAACAGATACACCACAGAAAATACGCACGCACAGACACACACGCCCGCGCGCAGCACGACAACGCATAAACACACTCACTCACACACACGAATACATATACAGAACAATCACAAACACACACCACAATCACACCCACCACACACACGTCACACCAGCCCCAACAGCACACACACACACACACACACACACACACACGACTATCCACCGATGCTCACATATGCCTCCCCGCTATTACTACGTTACCGCGGCGCATTGTTTGAAGTGAGCGAGAAACACAAATGTAATTGAACACTCGAGGTTTAACGACAGCGCGACTCTGACTTACGCTCGCCCCCTACCGCGTTTCCATACTGTTCCGTACTTCGCGTTGCCACTCACGAGCCATATGGCCTACCAAACACGTTCAAAACAGCGCAGAGTCGCAAGAGGGCGGTACTTGATATATTACGATGCGCACCCTCACCCCCACATATGTGGGGATGGGAACAATGGAGGACGTGGAGAACGAGTGACGAGGGTGGGTCGCGAGGTCGTTCGCGCTGGGGTGAAAGCTGTTTATCGGTCAAGTTTAGCTAGACGCATGCAAACTACGGAATTATTCTTGGGCCTCGTTGCATTTTGGTTTTGTCATTTTTTTATTTGCAGTAACATTAATGTATTTATTTAGCAATTAGGTAATTATATTTAATAATTTACTCATGCTTGTTGTAAGTCGGCATGATCTGATGCTTTGATTGCAAGAGAAAATAAATAAAACGATCGAATTGTAGATGTTGTCTTTGTATGTAAGAAAAATTATTTGTAGACTTTGAGGAAGAATACGTGGTAAGATTACTCGTTTGCAAAATTTTCTGGAATTTTGATAAACTATTTAAGATTCAAGATTCAAGATTCAAGATTCATAGAAATTTATTTGTGCATAATTAATACGCATAAATACAATATTTAGCCACTGCGACAATTAACGTTATTGAATCCTGTGTATGATTAGATGAGATTAGGGTGATTCGATCCGTATTGTTTTGGGAGCAAAACTTCCATGTAGCTTAGATACTTTGATACTTAGATACTCAGATGGTCATTCAGCATAAAAGATTGCGTGTTGCGTTCACCCTAAAACTTCCTCAATATTTTGGTTACGTTGACGTTCCGTCGTACCGCTCCGTCGTACGCTCCGTCGTACACACACGTTAATTCACTGTCGTACGCTCCGTCGTACGAGCTAGAGTCAAATTCTATTAAGGTAAGCCTCAGGGTCTATATAACGGGGTTGTAATGGCTGAGGTTTATTGGTGCAATATACTGGTAAATTATGGACTATGTAGGCTTCGAATAATCCACCTCGATTTTACGACCTCACCCTTTACCCGTATCGTTATTTACATATCCAAGGCTAATAATTAAGTTTATATTAATTATTTCCGTCCTATTGTTTTTTTTAGTTGGTTACTTATTGTAGGGTACTAGTAAGCTACGGTAATAGTAGTTCTACTTTATCAAAACCCGATCTGTTAAATAGACATAATTCAATAGAGACTAATATCTAAATGTCACATTTGACTTCACGCAGATACCAGACATGCAGTCAACAGTTCCAGCACAAAAATCTCGAGTATTATCCTGTTATACGCCAGATCAGCACCATTATCAAGACTCTAATATCCTGGCGACCGCCTAAAGTTGTCATGTTTGGACCAGGCCTAGAAAGTAGCGCAACAAAATGCGTCCTGGGGAAAATGCTTTATGATACAAGTTTGTTTCAAATCACCGGACTCGTACCTGGAAGATCTGGAGGTGAGTACTTACATATTTTTATTCTTTTCACGCAAAGTACCTACGATTTTTCAATAATTAAGAATTATTCAGGGTTTGCCAAATTGATTGAGGTATATCCAACTAAGATGATGATAATCTCGGATATATTATACCCTCTTGGAGTACAGGGCGTTGAATAGAGTCTTCTGGCGGTCAAAATATGGCATACAAATTTTTTAAACAGAAAGCTGGAAATAAGATTTACTACTGCATTAAGTACAGCATCATGAAATCAGTGAATAGAAGGGCAAGATTTTTTTGTAAGATTTAACGGAAGTTCACGGCAATGTAACATAATGCATTGTAGCCAAACAGCAAAGAACATAACATAAAATGACATGACATGACATGACATGACATGACACGGCACGGCACGACACAACACAACACACCAAAAACGCAACACGACACGACACGACACGACACGACACGACACGACACGACACGACACGACACGACACGACACGACACGACACGACACAACACAACATAACACAACACAACACAACACAACACAGCACAACACAACACAACACAACATAACATAACAGAACATAACATAACATATTATCATATCATAATATAACATAATGTATTATCATTATTATCATAATCTAACCTAACATAACAAAGTACAATATAAAAACATAATATAATATAAGTTATAACACAAAACAACACAGTACAACACAGCACAACACACACGCACCGCAATGCAACGTAACAACTGCAATGCAGCATAATTCCACTCAATTCAACGGAACGCAACGCAATGCAACGCAATGCAACGCACCCGACTCAACACAATACAACACGATACAACATAAAATCAGGAATGAATAATAATAGATCTATTATTCTTCACACCTGATAACAACACACAATACAACACAACTATAAGCACATCACAACATAACACAACATAAACACATCACAACGCAACACATCACAGCCCAACGAAACGCAATGCAATGTAACGAATGTAATGCAATGCAATGAAACGCAGCGTAACGCAACGAAATGCAACAGAATCTAAAAAACCCAACACAACGTAACATATTTAATTACGTAGCTTATGCCCGGCGCACACGGTGAGATAGATTCGTGCTGAGCACGAAGCGGAAGAATCTCACCGTGTGCGCGGTCGATTTATGTGAGGTTTTGGTCTCGCGAGGCGATGAGGAAAATATCTGTCGTGTTTGATAATTTTGGTCTCGCTAAAAACTCGTCAAAAGCGCGTGCGGGGCATGTGAGAATCCTGCTCACACTCACTCAGTGGCGGCGCATTTTGATTGGTTCTCACCCAGTGGCGGCGCATTTTGATTGGTTTCGCCATTTTGATCAGTCACATGACCTACAGTGGCACCTGCTCGTAAGATCCGTGTTCAGCATGGTGCTCACTGTGTGCGGGGGTGTGAGATACCTGCTGAGCACGAAACTCACGCCCTGTGATCAACACGAATCTCACCGTGTGCGGGGGTGTGAGATTCCTGCTGAGCACGAAACTCACGCTCTGTGATCAACACGAATCTCACAGTGTGCGCCGCGTATTAACGTAACGCTACGCTAATGTGACTTATACTGACAGGCGTATATACCTACCGATTCTGACATTACGTGTTGCCATATGCCCGCTGCACGCGCTATACATTGGCAGCTCAGTTAAGCGTCCGAGTCTGTATACTGTTCATCCCAGCCAATTGGGTTTGAAAGAGAAGAGCACGGATGCCCTAACTATTCTAATTACGACTATACTCTACTCGTCCTAACGAGCTCGCTCCCATAACTACGCCCCCTACGGCTCGCTTTTGATCATACTCGGCTGACGCCGACGTGCGAATATTCGTGAGCATCCGTAACGCTAGGTATGATGAGGTGTATATTTCAGTTTTGTGTGTGAATCGAATGTTTAATGCCTGTGCGAACCCAACTATATATTATGTATATTTTTAAATAACATAAAATTAAATAACCCTAACCCTAACCCTAACACTAAACAAAAACATTTCACTATATTATTACTTATCTTGAGGTATTTGATCAAAAAGTTAAATCAACGAGACACAATTCGATTTAAAAGGAGGCGTGGCCTAATCGTAGTTTTGGGAATATCTGCACTGAGCTTTGGGCCATAGCATTCACGCTGCGCGCCGTACGGTTATTGTTGTAAATCAGTTTAAAATATAGTAGAAGCCGATACGAAATCGACCACAACCAGCGTTTCCATGCAGCACATACTATAAATAGTACTGTAATTATCTGTTAACATTAGGTAGTATAAATAATTAAAATTCCTTCTGATATGTTGATCAAAATATTCAAACTTACTCGGCGATGTTTACAAATTTTGGTGTGTCGGTTAATTCTATATGGTCAGTACTAATTGCATGGTCAGCTGAATCATCGACAGTTTGATCATTGCCTCCTATAACATAGACTTTATATCTATCCATAGAAAGGGCAGGAGTGAACGTCTATTTTAAGTGGCAGGTCCAGGATTTTGAGATATAGGGGGCGCAACCGTGTAGCTAGAATTTCATTTTAGGGGTTACGGATTTTGTGATAGCGCCGGTGCGCACGCCAAGCATGCACAAGGGGTGGGTTCGCGAGCCCTAGAGCTCTAGCGCGAAGCGCGAAGCGCAGAAGCTCTAGCACTAATTAAAAGCCATACTAATCAGTGCTGAAGGGCCGCGACAGCGATGATTAAACGTTTAAAACTATTTTTCTCAATAGAACTTTCCACATAAAACATCAAAACAGAAAGATGCGTATAAAGGCGTGCGCGTAATTGCATACGCTCGGAAAGTTCAGATAGCTATGGCCCTGCTCACTCGTAGGCATCCTTCTATATTTTATATAGGTGCTAGGTATATATTCATTATTTATTTAATTTATATTATTATTTTTATTATATTTCATATATTCATAGGTTTCTATATTCAGACAACAATTAGTATACAGTATACACCGGCTGTACCCACGAGGACCAGTTAACTATCTCAATAGCGTGCACCAACATTGCGTGACAGCTAGGCGCCTATAGATCTGATACACGACAATATTAATACCTATCAATTAAAGGCACGGACACACTAGGCGATTTTAATGCGATCTAATCGGGCGACTTTATCGCCCCGGGCGAGTTTATCGCCCGATAATATCGGCCGATTCTATCGCGCGAGTCGAGTGGACACATCACGCGATTTAGTTGCGCGACTGAAATAATCGCCCGATAATAACAAAACGTTTTGATCGATGCGATTGAATCGGGCAACTAAATCGGGCGACTAAATCGGCGGCGACTAAATCGGCGGCGACTGACTGGACACATTAGGCGATTTTCACCGGCGATTGAGCCGCTCGACTGAGTCGCCCGATAAAATCGCCTAGTGTATCCGGACCGTAAGCGACGGCGTCTATCTCATTAAGTATAATAACAATGGCGTGCAGCTAGCATCTGGACAACCATGTAACAATGTGTCCAGTTTATTGAGGCACGCCAGCGCTATTTACCTTACAATACCTATATTAGCTTGATTTATTACGTTTCGTTTTCCTCCTGGATAGGTTGACCTTGTGGGAGCCGGCCTGAATCGTCGAACAGAATTCAATTAAAAATGATGAGAAAGTACTCTAGTGCCGAACATTACCGCAAAAACATCAACGCAAACCTTTTCCGCAGACGAAATAATGCGGCGGTAAATAATGCGGCCCAAGGCTACTGTTGCCTGCTCTCTTTAAGTACTGATTGTATCTTGCGTGTCCTGTCATGATATGTTAGTCTATGATATACTAATACTAATGCGCAGGCACGCACGCACTATATTAATATATATGTATATATATATATATATATATATATATATATAATATATAGCTATTGCAGGAGTTAATAATGACAAAAGTTTGGTGGCCAATTAATTAACTCCCTGATATTTATATATCTCTCTCTCTAATATATATATTCATATATAGTATATAATTAGAGATTAGCATTGTAGTCATTACACCGCACACTCCCAATCGAATGTCGAAGGCATTCTACATATCTGCATACGGGAGCATCCAGAGAACATGCATTACAAGATTGCGTGCAGGGCACAGCTTTGATGATTGATCCTGAGCCGCTTGCGCGCGGATTGAGACGCGCAGTTCCGGCGGAGATGCGCACGCGACCGCGGGGATGCTTCAAGTATGAAGCGCGCCGCAGTGCGAGGATGTGCCCCGCCAAATTCGAAGCCCGGCGGCGAAATGTTTTTCCCACGGAGCAGTTCCGGACCCCACCACAGATAGTGTATTTGTAATAGTATGGCTGCGATTATATAACGACGGACCTGGTTGTATTATAGGTTCAGTGTTTTTACGGTTCGTCTCAGGTGTTAGCGTTTCAGGCGTTGGCAGGGTTAGGTTGTATAAATTTTGCATTGCTTGCTTCGAGGTATGAGTTGCCGCTGATGGCTGGGGTCCGGAACTCTCGTGCGAAAAAAAAATTCGCAGCCGGCGCCCGTCTCCACAGCCACGTCATGCGAATTTTTGGGGGTCTGTAGTTTTAGAAGATAAACTATAAAGACTGTTCTAAATTAGACAAACTATCGACAGACTACAATAAGAGCAAATATAGCAGACCTTTGAATTTCTTGACTAGTCCGTCAAAGGGCTTGTTGCGGGGGTCCATATATGCAGAGCTTCAATCATGAAATGCGCCCATGAAAATAGTCAAGTAGAATTGTGGTTCGGAAACCACAAAGGAAAAATGTCTCTTTCTCCTTCTTACAGTTCGCTCCCTGAATAAATCACGCATTCAGGCATCAACAATAACAGTAGATGAAGTATGTGTTTGATTTGTGTGCCTCTTGAGCGCACTGCTGCCAATGACGTAACAAGACTGCTTGAAAGCACAGGCATCTTGGAACGTGTCAATAAAAATAAACATATTTACTACAATTTTTTTACAATGTTCGACCGCCTGTTTGCAAAATAGGTGAACGTATGTGAAACATATACGGTTAGTACTTACTGTGACATATCCGTGACTAACTGACACCATTAAATTGGTAAAATGTTCCATGCACCTTAAGAAATGCTGAGAAATTACGAGGTTATCATCGCAGAACTCCCGAACACCGTACGTCACAAAGCTATATGTAAACAAACACGCGTGCTGCGAGGTGCCTGCCTTCGATATCCATTTCGAGGCCCGCTAAGCCAAGCATAAAGCGCGCGGGCAAGACGTCACACACACAGTTACGTTCATTCGTTAAAACAATCGAGTAGCGCGGTTAGGGATTTTCGGAATTATTTAATTTGAAGAAAAACTTCAATGTTCAATGAATGACGAACTCGTTCACTTCCGACAGCGAGTGAAAATGCCAAAAATTTCCCACTTCGATGCGAAATGCATCGTCCGGGCATTTAATTAATTATACGAAAAGTAAACAGGCTGGCGAAATACAGTCGGTACAGTAACTGGTCACGTCGATGACGCCCCATTCATGCCCATCAACGAAGAAGGCGGGGCTTATTCTGATTACGGAGATGCGAAAATGCAACAGAAGGACGTAGCGCAGTGCGCTAAACAGCGTGTTATTTTCGTATTTGTAGCAAACTCTATCGTAATCACGCACCACGTCAAGTAATTACATCTAATTGGCCGAATTTGCTTCTCGCAGCTGCTTCTCCATGAAATGCCGGTGGCTGCACTCCGTAACGAGACCACTCCGTGACGAGACGGTCTTTTTCTGTTTGTAGTCAGTCACTCTGTCTGGGATTTGATCTGCATGAACGGCGTCGGTAATGAGTGCGCGAACGCCCAGTGTTATATTAGTGCGTTGCTAGTCGAGCTGTCGCAGAAAGCAAATGGCTTGTTTTTCCACTGCCGTGTTTCCCAGGGCCGTCGCCAGGGATTGACTAATGTTGATGCCCAGCCACGAAGGCGCGAAGCGTTGGAAAGGGGGAGAGTGTGTGAGGGGGGTTTCCCCTCCCCAGGTGGGGGTCCAGGGGGCCTCCCCCGAATTTTTTTGAAATGCTACATAGAAAATGCTGTACGCTGGCGAGTTTTTTTAAAAATGAAATATGAAACACAGTAAAATGTACATTGCAAATTTGCGAATTTTTAAATCCGGAAATAATGTTGAAGCGCGAGCTTCCAGGCCTCCGCCTGGCGCCGTGCCTGTTCCACAGTAATCGTTTCTGTCAGACTAGTGATATCATGCTTCCTATTAGTAGAATATACGATCATTAGGTGTTGGTCATATCAGTGGGAAACCTAAGGCTGAAATCGATCCTTGAAGTCATGGACGTGTAGTAATGAGAGAGAGTGATGAGAGTGATATGATGCGTGAGAGTGAAGAGAGAGAGAGAGAGAGAGAGAGAGAGAGAGACACAGAGAGAGAGAGAGCTAAAAGTGAGATGAGTCAGACGCATGCACGTAAGCAGGTGAGAATATATGCGCGGTCGCACGAAGGTATAGCGCTCACGGGTGGCTGAAATAACCCGTCGGGCCCCACTCAATGTAATCAGGAGTCTATCAATATTGAGTAATTGAGTATATATACTCCTATATATCAATATTGATAGATTCCTGATGTAATATATAAAGGATTAAATCATCATCGTACATCAAGAGAATCGTTACGCCCCTTTTGAGATTGTGAATTTGTGACACACTTATCTAGATTTAGATATTCATTCAGCTATTAAGTTGCATTGCATAGAATTATTGCATAATTATTGAAGAGATTATAATTTATGTACTCGATTAGTTGCCGTGACCATTGTGTTATACGTTTGTAAGATTTCTCAAGTTTTCCTACGCATTCCTAGTTGCCCGCTGGCGTGAGCGCTATTAGAGGCAAATTTGTTTTGGGATATTTGTAGTTGTTTAATTCTTCTTGCCGAGATTCTCGGCGGTGATCGCCTGCTCGGCTGTATTATGTTTAAATGCGTAGCGTATTACCTGCCTGCATATGAGCAGCCGTCATATATAGGGATCAACACGCATGAGTACTATTGTTAAGTATTACGTGTCACCTACTTTATGATAATTGTTAGTGCTTGGCTAGACACGTTCTGTGATTGTTGGATATCCGATTTCCGCGATGGAAAACTCGAAGGCCATGAGTTCAAATTTCTTCAGCCTAACCTCGGAAGCGCTCCGTGCCATGTACTACACGCTGGTGTAATCGTAAATGCAGTGTAAGCATTTGGCGAGCCACGCATGCACACAGACACGCATCCAGATTAAGAAGCACGCGCACGTCAACATACACGCGCGCACACACGGGCACGCACACAGACACGCACACACACACACACACACACACACACACACACACACACACGCACGCGCGAACACACAGATGGATAGATATTTCTCATGATTTGATTAATTTGGCCTGTCTTCAAATATTGCTATAGGTATAGGTGCTGGAATCGATTTGCGGATAAAGTCCCGTCGCTTCACCCTCATCACACTGTATTCGAATACAGAGAGGGTCAGAGAACAGTACCCAACAAAAAACTGCGTTGCTAATAACCGCATGCTGGCTCAAGATGGCGATGGCACCATATATTTAACTTCGGCTATGGGCGAGGTAGCCCGCAGTGCAAATGCGTTCGTATTTGTTGTTGATGCGTCTGATCGAAATGAATACGGTAAGTCAAATAACGACCATGGACTGAAAGATGATTAGATCAAGCTATTTTTATAATATGAATCTCCAGAATATGCCGGAATTTCAATGTGAGAATTTAATATGAATATCAGTTTTAACTTGTTTTTCACGAACTTTCACGAACCACACAAAAAAGTATATACATTGTATTACAAGGAATAACTCTTTAAGTGATGCATTTAAAGTTCGTAAACGTTAATTTTTACTAGGTAGAATTATGATGCCATAATTTTAAAAGAAATGACCATTTTAACTTATTTTGCGTAAATTGGCGACGTATTGCGAATATAAGTGTCTGTGCACGTTTCAGTAAATAATAATTTTACTTTGTTCAGCTTTAAGGAACAGCAGCTACGACTCTCTACTCTCGGCAGTGGTTACACCACAGACAGGATCGTCGTGTGCACCTTTGTTGGTTGTAGCCGCTGCAATAAATAATGCACCTAATTCTGTATCAGCTATCGAGGTCACACGAAATCTGAAGCTCAACAAGATTTTAAACCCTTGGCAGGTACCGAAAATTTGTACACGTTCTTTTACAAGTTGTTTCTGCAGTACTACGTGTGATAAAAGCAATCGATCCGCTCGCCCACACAGCCATTCATCCTCGTAATTACACACGCGCGCACGCACGCACGCACGCGCGCACGCACGCACGCACGCACGCACGCACGCACGCACGCACACACACACACACATGCCACACAATCACACACACACACACACACACACACACAGCACACACACACACACACACACACACACACCCACCGCGCGCGCGCGGCGCGCGCGGCGCCGCAGAGAGAGAGGGAGAGAGAGAGATGCGGATAACGGCTTGAATACTGAATAGTAAAGCGCGTCTTGAATTTAACAGATGTTACCCTTGTTAATGAACCAACGCGGCGCGTAGAGATGATTTACGTTTTTTACCCTGTTGCCAGTATCAACATGGTGGATATCGCTAACTTGGGAGGAATATCGGCTGCGTTTGAATGGGTGCTGGAGCAGGCACACTGATCTGATTGACTCTATTCGCAACAACGTTTTTCATTCGAGGAAGACGGCGGGATTCATGCAATTTACAGAACAAATTCTGCGTATTGAATATGAAATAACTACCGTTATAATTGACAGTTTACAAAATAAAAATTATCTCAAGGTCGCAGTTTGTACACATTTTCATCACTTCGCTCCCACAATACTGGACAGAACAAAATCTTGTGATCTTAGATTTTCTGAAATGGTTTACATCTATAGATTTGTTTTTAATTAGTCCATGGGCCAGAACCCTCAAAATGGCCATTTGACACCAAAATGATGGACAAATTCTAACATAGATTTTTTTAAACCTTATTCCCTCCAGTTTATTTTGGTATATCATAACCGCGCAAAATCAGTAGCTTTATGATTGTTATCACGTGATCAAGTGATGTCACTCAGTTTCACTGAATGGCCAAATATTGTACAAAGATCACTCTAAATTGACGAATTGAAGCCAAAAAAGCCATATCCTTATAGGTGTTTAGCTGTTAATAACTCCCAACAGGCTTACAGCGTAAATTTGGAGATATCCTTAAATATAGGCATGATTCTGAAATGGTTTCCATGGCAACAGAATACAAAATAAACCTTGAATTTAAAGAAAAACTAAAATTATATTTATAAAAGCAGGCGTTTTGGGAAAGAAAGACTAAAATCACTTTACTAATCATGTGATGTTGTTGATCGGCTGGTTGAATTAATAAATGGTTGTGTTCACCCTTACTTTAACTCGCATCGTCGTCTTCGACGTCATCCGAGACAACTTCCTCGATGGGATCTTCACGCCGGTTCTCGCAGTCTTGTAGCCTGCACATGTGCGTGCATTTCAGGCCATTTGCGGTGCAGGTCGGAAGCTGGCATGACCTGTTGCAGGTGTAAGATAACAGCTCTAGAACGGCAGTAGGCGCTGGTTCACCCCTCATCCAGTCTATGACGAGCTTACTGTTCTCCAGACTCCAACCAGAGCCGATGGGGTGGGTATCTCACGACATGATTGAAGGCTCCGCTTCTAGATCGCTGCTTGATAGTTGGCACGAGAAGCATGCTTCAGTAAGCAGTCAGCGCATGACGGTAATTGAGTTGATTCAATGTTCCCCTTCTTGGCACAGAACAGCCTGTACCTCAGCTCGTTAGTGTCGTTTGTACCAGGTTGAGAGCTATGCAACTGACATGTGAACTGCTGGAGGTTTTCAACCAGATCATCCGAAAGCTCCCATTCCATTCATAACTGGTTGAACATTTCTTGTAAAGAACTGTGCTGTTTGACAAGTCGAAGGACTCCAATCTTCTCCGATCTACCATCCATTATCTACCCCGTCCAGCGAATGCACTCACCGTATCACATCCTGTGAAACGCATGCATACCAAGGAGGCATTTGCCTTAATTAATTAATTAATAAAATTTTCAGGATAGGTCAGAAATGGGGTAACTTAGAATTCATTACATTTTGGTGATTATCCGAATCCAATTAATTATTTAATTAATTAATTAATACAATTTTTCACAGTGACAGAATTCAGCTGCCTTGGCGGAGGTCTGCGCTCTCCGAGTGCTCTAGTTTTATAATATATTGTTTCTGCAGCTTCATCAGATTGGAGGTTTTTATTCTGATACCGCGGAATTACGTTAATTGTCTAAGATGAAATATAGGTCTAATTTATTACCACCTTCAGTGCTAAGTACGTATATGCACATATTATTGAACGCTAATGAATCGATGACAATAACTAATAGAGCATGCGCAATCGCCCTCCGTCACCTGCGCACAAGCTCGTGTCCTTCTTATTGATGATGTCCTATGCGTCATAAATTGCTATCCCATTACGTTCACTTCCGCAGGTGTAACGCTGCAGCTAGCATCCCGATGCAATTTCCAGATAATACGTTCGCTAGTGGTGCTTCACAATAGTGTCGCTATCACACCTTGCTATCGGCTCGTATACACCGCCATGACAGTATACACGTTTCTTTTGTGATGAACGGGCTGGTTATTAGCAGCTGTTTGGTAATGATGTAGCGGCAACCGCTGTCATCATATATTTCAGACATTTGTTGCGTTTACGACGGCAATCATCGACGTTAGTCGACACTGAATACAGCAACTATTGGAGCGTCGTTGGAGTTCGTGTACTCACCCACACAGATGAGCGCCACCGGGAATCCGTCAGCGATTCACATACCTTCCCCGGTAGCGATGGACGACGTCACAGAGCCAACGTTTGCCGTAATCAGTCAGCAGGTAGGGAAGAAGGGCGGCATTTGTGGCAAGAACCCATTTACAAGACGGGACAGGAAAGCGCAATTAGCCTTGATCTTGGCCATGATCACCATACCGATTCTCGCTGTCGTCGTCCAGAACATCCTCATACTAGCGCAGAGCATTAAAGTCAAGCACGAAGCCGTGGAGGAACACGTCATGGTTAATACTAGTGTTCAGGTAAGAAAAGTAAGGTGAGCAGGTAAGCAAAATGACCAGCATTGCTATTATGGCCCTGTCATACATTGACGATTTAGCCAGCGTATGGCCGACGTGGAATAAAACGCTGGCATACGCTGAACTATCGATGTTTTTTCAATTTTGGGCGTATACATAGCGTATTAATAACGAGTTGGACGTATACATAACGTATTAGTAACTTATATAGAACCTTTCGATAACTTATAGATAACTTATGCCAACGAATGCTTAGCGTGTTGCCGGCGTTCACAAGTTATGCCCAACGATAGTCTAATTAACTTATGCATAGCGCGCGGCAGCGTATCGCCGACGATCACGTGTCGTAGCCTATAAAAAGGCATACGTCAATATGCGTTGGAGATAAGTTACACATAGGTTCAAAGCACGTTACTCATAGGTTAGAAATATGTTTTGGGTACGCTAGACATTATCTCGACGTATTTCGACTCATGAGTAACTTACAAGTAACGTGTGTGAACGTGTGTCAACGATCGCATAACTTACCTACAACTTATAGCCCGCATATGCGGGACGTATGGGCATACGCTGGCATACGTCGGAAAATTTTGAGCATGCTAAAAAAATTTCGAAGACCTCGCCGTACTACGACGTATACCAGCGTGCTTCAGCGTGCTTCAGCGTGCTTCAGCGTGCTTTTAACTTATACAAAGCTTATATTACCCATAACTTATTCGACGTACGCCAGCGTATTCGCCAAATTTTTCATACGTCGGCATACGCTGGCTAAATCGTCAATGTGTGACAGGGCCATTAGTTTCGATGTGATCAGAAGTAGATAATAGGGAAGGAGTGTGACCATCAATAAACAGGGAAAATTCGTCATTTACTAGCCTTATAATACCTACGATTTACTACGCGTTAACTCATCCACTTGAGCTCAAATCGGACAGCAGTACATTCGCCTAGCATCGTGCGAAATCGTTCCTCGTATACACCGCAATCCGGAGATAACAGACTACGACACGATTCTCATCTTTAAATTGGCATCAATCCAAATCATTGCGCGCTCTAATTCAAACAAAAGGCAGCTACCTAACACAGCTTTGCTAACTCGCGGCCAATGTGGCTCGCTGGGAGATTGAGCCCGATCAGCTGCTGCTGATTGCGGTTGGCGTTGCGTGCGTGAAGGACATGCCAGCTATGTGCAGAGGTGGCCTGTGTAGCTGTGTACCGGGTCAAAGGTTATCTCGCCGAGTGTTGATGCCTAATCTCCCAGCGAGCCACATGCCTTGCCGAGTTAGCAATAGCGCGTTAGGTAGCTGCCTTTTGTTTGAATTAGAGGCGCGCAATGGATTTGGATTGATGGCCAAAGAATAGACGAATCGTGTCGTACGTTTTAGTCTGTATCTCCGGATTGCGGGTGTATACGAGGAAACGATTTCGCACGATGCTAGGCGAATGTACTGTGTCCGATTTGAGCTCAAGTTGGATGAGTTACGCGTAGTAAATCGTAGTATTATAAGGCTATGTAATGACGAATTTCCCTTGTTTATTGATGTCACACTCCTTCCCTATTATCTACTCCTGATGTGATCAATCTCAATATTTTAGCGTATGTATCATATGGCTAAACTATGAACTCGAAGGAGTCGCCAGCTTTAATTAGGCCTAGTCTCTATAAGTACATAATTTGAAAGGTAACTTTGCAATCAAGAAATTTCCGTTGGAAATAATTTGTCAATAAATCACGAACAAACTACATAAGCAATCTATAATAAAACTGGATATATTACACAATTAATTCAAACAAATTACATTTGACTAGACTACAGTAGGGCTTCTCACAACTTCTCTACAATAGAACACAGTTGAAACGAACAGAAATAGTCCGAACTTGCATTAATTAGGCGATTTTATCTAAATACAAAAATAAGTTCTACCTGGTTAACGGCGACGAGCAAGCCTAATCGGCACAGGAGAGAACCTAATAAAACAGGTGTAATAAATCCAGTAATGCAAAGTTTTGCAAATTCTATATTCAACAAAAACTAATATCATATAATTATATTGCTATTAGTATAATTACAAGGTACTATAAACACGTTATATACGGGCGCCATAAACAAATGATTTTAGGTCGCCTACCGTGACGTTTTGCGTGATTTCTGCCGATACACTGCAGCTGTTATTATTATTATTATTATTATTATTATTATTATATTACTGCAGCTGTTGAACTTGTCTAGGGTTATGATTACCATATGAACAAACATTACCAAGTTTATTGTAGATATCTCGTATTTAGATTCTAGAGGTAGAAGTTATCATGCTTATACACGGTGTTAGATATACGAAACATACAAGAGTGTCACAACAAACTGGTTAGAGTCCGAGCAAACTGCTTACGGTTAAAACATACTGCATGGGTATACGGTCCAAGCATGTTAGAGGCTGTCGAAACATAATGACTACTATCTGAACATGTTGGACGTTGTTCGCACGAACTGTTTAGTGCCCAAATATGCTAATTAGTCTTTAAAAATGCTGGTTAATTATAGTGTTTGTTACGTTGGGAACCGGGAACTTACTATAGGAACAAAGGCTCACACCAAATATTTCCACAGGAAAATGTGGCCGAAATAAATATAGGTCGCGTGAAAAATGGGTCAACAACAATGAGCCTCGGTTAGCTACAACAAAT